GTCGGCTCATTATTCAAAACTGAACATTCATGGTCAATGTTCCCTATTTTATTCAGGTCTGTATACAATGCAAGTATCATTTGGAAATATTCCGCTTCTAAGCATATATCTGTTTTCCTCTCTATGTGGCGATAAATCTACTAAAAGATAGAAGTATCGTTCATTCGTGGCTTTCATATAACTATCCATGAAGTATCGAGTTTGACCTGGTAGTATCTGAGATGCAAATGTTATCAGTTGACGCATGTCCCTGTGATTCCGAAATAATACAAAATTTGCGCAGTTGGGCGCTATGGTTTTAGCATAGCGGCCTTGCATGTACATATTCTGAGACAAATACACACAAGATAGTCCTCTGTGATGACTTGTTACCGTGAAGAGGTGTAATAAATCCTCCGATTGAACTATTTTAGATACCAAGTCATCCAAAATTACTAACGAATGGTTGTTGTTTTCTGCTATTTCTTCTAATTGCTGTTTATTGGGTAATCCTTCATGAAAGATTAAATTGGGTATAGCCTGCATGTCATCAAACATTGGTTGATATTCCGAATATGCATACAATATTTTTTCGGGCGGTACAGTAAATATTGCATCGGCATTTTCCACTAATTTCTTAGAAAACATGCTTTTTCCCGATTGTGTTGGACCAACTATGCATATAGTTGTGGGTGAAATGAAGGGTAGTAATGTTTGTGTGGCCATCTCTCAAAGGACGTATGAAAGAAATGAAAAAAAGTACTCGAATGCATTCATTTTTATAACTTTAAAAAGAACATGGTATTCACATATCTTATTATTAAGCAATAGAGAAGTACATATAAATAAATCTGTCATTCTGTTCCGAATCATATGGATGAAACATTTCATAAATATCTTCCAATGGAATACGAAAACATAATCTCATCACTACAAAAAAAATGACGTAAAGTCCACAAACATCTGACGTCCTAGATTGTAGTCGTCTTTGTATAAAACTGTATTCACGACTGTCCCTTGTTAAAAAATTCTTTAGATCATAACTGTAGAATTCAGCCGGGTTTCCCAAACTATCGAAATATTCAGCCTTATGCAAGCTGTACAAAATGACACAGAGCCAGTGCCGACCTTTTCGTGGTAAAGGGTCCGTGTTGACGATATATATCTGAGGGTATCTCAGCGGAAGTTGTTCTGGTAATGTATTGACTGCTGTTATCTCGATAAAAGTCTTTTTTAAACATTCGTAATGATTTAGCATTTCTTTCAATTGTTCAGTGTTCATGGTTCTACGATCCTCACCTCACGTGCTTCATCGACTGTTAAAATGGCCTGTGACTGGTAATAGCAGATACAATTTATAGTCTCAGTAGTCGCTGAAGCGAATCTCATTTCTAGTCTAGCGTTTCCGTGTTTCACTAAATTGAGAAAATCTTCTTGAAAATCGCATGGATCAATTGAAAATGCAAGAAGACTGTATCCCTTTCCAAAATCCTCCAATGTAATGTTGAGACCCGTATCTTTGTTCCATTTTTCACATATCTCGAACAGTCTTACGTATGCCAATTTGTAATTTCTGTTTACTCCAAAATCCAATTTCAAAGGAGATCCATATACTTCTACTCCATTAACTTTTAAAGCCACTTCTGATAAGTTGAAATGTTGAAAGTTAAATGGATTTTTTGCATAATTCCCATTAACACTTGACTGTGAAAGGAGTCCAAAAACCACTCTGGATGGAAGTGATTTGGGAAACATAGAATCCCAGTAAAATTCCGTAGATCCCTGTGGTATGACATTTTGTATCACTTGACTCCTGTTTATGACGTATCTTGCAGGCGATTCCTGTATCTGTCGTTTGTGATTTAAGAGGACCCCTGGTTCCAACTTCACTCTAGCTGTTTTGAAAGACACGTCGAGTATTTTCACTTTGTATTTAGGGGTTACCTCTCCAGACATGAGCAGGAAAGGTGCATCTGATCTAAAAAGTTTCATACAAATATCCACTCCATTGATGAGCAGTTTGCCTTCCATATTTAATGCGTCCTCTAGCAAATTACCTTCCAATTCAAACGTTCTGGATTCTTTGGTATATTCATACCTGTTGATGAAACCGGGATTAAGAGTGAGGGAGTCCATTGGATCTTGATCTTTCATAAATAGTTGACTTTGAAGTTGGGATTCCTGTTCGTCTTTCCCTGATGATAGTATCACCTTAAGATAAGCCTTCCAAGGAAAGTTGTTAGAGTTTACAGAAACAAGCTTATTGTTCATATAGATATCGATATGAGAAAACATGCTTTGTAATGGCATATTTATTATACCGGTCTTTTCTTTTAGGACAAGAGGTGTACCGTCTGATTTCAAAATTTGCATTTTCACATATAGGCGGCTCTTTCTGAGATCTATGTAATCACTGCCAGCTCCCGATATGACAAATTCTATTGGTGTAGAATCGTTAATCAAGTTCGAAATTGGTCGTTCCTCTGTGTCATTAATTTTTTCAATAGCAACCTGGTTGGGAGGAGAGGAAAATATGGAAAGCTCCATAGGTTGACCTATCTCTTTATTATCACCACTCAAAAACGCCATTGTTAATGTTTCCTTTTCTTGACGGCTGGCTGTTTCCACACACTGTCGTTATATTCCGTTATACGTTTTCGCTTATTTTTGTTTTTGGATGCAAATACTTTTTTTGTGTTTCTTTTTCCTTTGCGCTTTTTAAATGTTGTCCTTTTGCTTGATTTTTTCTTTATGAACTGTGTCTTTGCTTTTCCTCTTTTTATGACTTGTTTTTTTGATTTTCTTCTTTTAATGCGCTTTAGTAATTTGACGTGAGGTTTACCGTTTTCTATTTCCTCTTTCATCTGTGAAGCAGCCCTTTCTTCTGCAGCAACAACGGGTGTAACCAAAGAAGTATTCGCTTTTGAATTATCTGCTGTTGTGTTTGGATTTACAGGTATCATATAAGATCCTCTGTATCGACCATACATTCCGCGACCTATCTGACTCTTTTACTGTTTTCTATATATTTATATGGATTAAATTTATTGTCCGACATGTTTTTATAGAAGTGCTCCCAAATCGATGGATCAGATACGAAAGTCCTATTTTGCATCTTTACAGCACGAAAGGGAACTTTTTAAAATGAAGTGTCACGGTCACTTTCCCTGTGATGACTGAAGCTTTTTTCCCTTTTTCGTCTCTTATATAAATGCGAATCTGCTGAATGTCTCTTAGTTTGATTGGAACGTAATAAGGATTATCATAAATAATGTTATTCTGATCTTTATCTTCGAAGAAAATTCTCCTCAGTAAAGGTTGTTCTGATGTTCCAATGAAACTGTCTTGACACGTGTCAGAATACACAAAGAACTCTGGTTTTTGTGATCTATCTAATATATTAATTTCTGTTAAAGCTACGACCCAGTAACCGTCGAACTGTAAAGATCTATATAACTTAACTGTAAAATCATGAGATTTGTTATTTGGGAAAAAGTTGTTCCCGTCGTCCGATGCTAATACCATTCTCAAACTCATCTTGTGAAATGATGATAAGTATCCTTTACTCTTGGTTATATGTCTTTTACCTCTTTCTCGTCAACCCACGAATTGAATCTCTTTGGCCAGCCCAACCATTTAACCAAAACCTGTTTTCTACCATTTACTTTTCTTTTCCTGATTATTTTTTCAATTTTGTATGTTGTTGTATCAGATTTTTCAACTTTTTGAAGTTCAAATTTATAGAAGGAACCTTTAACCTCTTCTCCAAGGATATCGACCAGTTTATATATACCTTGATTGCCTCTCTTGAACCTTTTTGCTATCTAAAAATATTCCATAGTCCATTTTTCTTGGTATCCTTTTTCAAAAGTTCTCTTTAAATGCGAGATCTTGACTAGATCACCTAAATTAAATTTGAAAATTGTTTTCTTCTTCTTTTTGGGTTTTGATGATTTGGGTTTTATCATTTTTTTTTCTGTTTTCATCTTTCTTTGTCTCACAAGATATTGAATATATCTCATTTCGTCTTCATTGCTTTTATTTACAGATGATGGTGTAGCTCCCCCTAAGGACTCATGAGGTGTGTGGTTATAACTATCGACTATCTTCTGCAGTACGTCAATGTATTTATATGTTTGCTTTTCCATAAAGTATGCATATATTCTTTCTTTCAGTGTACGAATTACACGTTCTGCATAATTACTTTTAATTCTTGAATTTTGAGTGTAAAAGAACTTAATGTTTTGATTTTTGAGAAATCTTTTCACTTCTGCCTTAAATTCTCCTCCTTGATCAAAACGAATAACCCGTGGTTTTCTGCTGCCTTATTGAAAAACTGATTTTAATGCATTTGCGACTGTCGAACTTTGTTTGTTTTTTAAACTTTTGACAATCAAAAACCTTGAGAAAATATCTATCAACACCAGCAAAAATTTGACCTGATTGTTATATTTACTGACATTTTCCATTGAGGCCAAATCGGAATCCCATTGTGCGTTAAAGCCACTGACTACAACTCTGTTCCTAGGAAAGTGTTGTCTTGCTGGTTTGTGTACCGTATACGCCTCCTTATTTGCTAATATTTTCTTTATCGTTCCTAAACCAATTTTGTACTTTCCTTCTTCACGTACAATTTGATATACTTTCTCAGGTCCGGCAAATGAGGCGGGGTGACCGGGGTCTGTCCATATTTTAAGTACGTATACTTGTTTTTGCTTTTGTGTCATTTGGATTGCCCGATTTTCTTCTGCTGTTGTGTTTTGTATCAATAGTTTCTTTCTTTTGTATGTAATTCATATAATAGTTTTCATAAACTCAGAATGACGTGTTAACAGGGCGTTCATCATGTAGTAAAATAAATGAATATCTAAGGTTTTTACTATATACTAAGAAATAACAACCAATAAAAATCAAAAGTTATTTTTTTATTTACATAAGATATATCATTTTTCGATTTACATAAAATATAAATAGTGTAGTTTATATTTTGTACAGAGTCAGACATTCATGCATTGCTCACTATATCTTCTCGATTAGAACCAGTTTGTTCCTCTTCTACATCTTCTGTTTTGTCGTCCTCTTCTTCGACTTCTTCATCTTCGGTTTTGTCCTCTTCGAAAGTCGAACACTCTCTGCACGATAAGACTTCCAGTTCGTTTTGATGTGTATATTAACAGATACACGCTTTATCGAGTTCAGGGATAAAATCTCTTATCATCTCCATGACAAGACATAGACGTTCCCATTTGGTCTTGGTAAGGACGATTTCTCTCTTAGTTGCTACTGGTTTGTCAGAATCTTGGGGTTTCCAGAAGTGACGTATGTCAATTGTGGGGAATTTTGGATTAATGGTGACGTATACGCCTCCTCCTAAATGCATCACTACTTCGTCCTCTAATTTTCCTTCAATGGACTTCTGATACTGCTCTCTGATATTTCCCTTCTTCATTTCAAGTAATAACCATCTAGATGGAGTGAGTGCAACTCCTTGCTTAGTCGGAAAGTGCCTTGGTCCTGTGTGGTCATAGTTACGAATGTGTATATACATCTGATTTTTATATTCTTTTGCAACCACATGCGTATCTCCTTGAAGATGAAGGAAACATTTTCCTTCATATGCAGTGGTAATATCTCCTTCTTCTTCTGTTGTGCTGCCTTCATTTAGATATTTCAGGAGATCAGATTGGTTTGCTTTTATCAGAGCAATCCTCAGTTGTTGATATGACGGTTTTGTCGAATTAGCAAGAACTGACAATAGTTCTTTAGCTCTCTGACGCTCACTGGTGATCTCCAAGAGGTTGTTTTCTTCTTTTTTGGACAAAACATTTTTTATCCTTAAAAAATGAATTACTTTATCTGGTTTCATCTTCTGGCTTAAAACATAACTGGCTTGTTCAATAATTTGTTTTCCTTGTTGTTCTTTGTGTTGCTCTTCCATTGCGAATTTGTGAGTGTTATGTTTTCCACAAACGTTATGAAACTGGTGATCTTTACTATAATTAAAAAAATCGTGCGAAAAATATTCGTAGTAACAGCCGCAGTTGTATTGTGTAGCTTCTCTGTCAAAACCCATTTGAATATTAGTGTACATCTTTGCCCTTGTTTTATATGTTTATATGGTCACAGTTATTAATTTTCTATAGGATACTTGATATATCTAAAGGATAATTATATTTACGGTTTATGATTTTTCGTTAGGGTACTGTGTTATCGTTTACCTTTGTATACTGGATGTTTATTGTTTTTTATTAAGGGTACTGTGATATCATATTAGGGTATTCAGATAGGATAGCATGTTGGACGGGTACCATAGTGTTTATGTAAGGGCCCTCCAATAATGGGGTACTATATTTAGGGGTTAGTAATCGATAAGTTGGTCTCCCATTTCTATACCAGTGTAAATAACCGTCCATCTTCTGGAATGTCAAGGCTATTAAGAGTTATGAGATAGATCGACCACAATCTTTCTGCATACGCTGGATTCTGACGACACAGCTTTCTTGTGAAAAGATACAGTGTTAATAATCTTCCTGGATTGATTATGCCATCATTAAATAAAGTTGAAACAATGCGTTCATAAATCTGGAGACTGATATCATCCATTTCAATGTAAAATTGTAAGTACAGTTTACACTTTTATTCTAACTTGAATTTAAAAGTGTGGTTCGTTTTATATTCTTTTTAGCAGGATATCAGGCGTAAAAAAACGCCATAGATCCCTAGAAATATTTTTTCGGAGTTATCCCGTTAGGTATTATAATATAGAATCCCGTATTTTCTTCTGATTTAAGGCCTCGTCAATTGTTTTGTTAATATATGGTATTATCTGTTGAATATATTTCCACTGACGTGTATTTATTTGCACCCCTTTGATAGTTTCCTTTCCGTTGATGAATTGACGAATATCAACGATGATTTCGTCCTGATAAAGACATATTGTAACATAATAGGTATCGGGTATTTCGAATTGTTTGATAAAATCACACAGACTATGGTTGTATTTTTGCATCTGTTCTGAATGATGTAGTTTGATACAGTCTGGTTGTAGATTGATCTCCTTCTGATAAGAAATTTCTGTAATCGTTAAGGTTAATACAGTCATCACAAGAATGGCGAACGTTCCAGTCCATTTTAAAATTCTCCTTTGTGTTTTAAATCGGTAATACAAGGAATTGCTGTTGGAAAGTGTGGGTAAGGATCCATTAAACTCTATATCTATGTCTTCATTGAGTTCATCACAGTTATTCCTTTGAATAGACATTTCGACCGTACGAGTTTAAAATCTGTAATAAAGGTCAGGTAATAAATAGCCTTCTTTTGTAAGTTATTTCAATTAACTCAATGATTTTGTTTGAATTATATTCAAGACACACTATAAATAGATTGGGATGGGGGTACTAATAGTTTATATAAAGGGCCCTAAAATAATAGGGTACTATATTTAAGGGGGTATTATAGTTTATATAAAGGGGTATTATATTTAAGGGGTAACTATAGTCTATATAAAGTAGGGTACTATATATAAGGGGTACTATAGTTTGTATAAAGGGGGTCCTCAGATACCTAAAGTAGGGTACTATATATAAGGGGTACTATCTATATATAAGGGGTACTATATATAAGGGGTACTATCTATATATAAGGGGTACTATAGTTTGTATAAAGGGGGTCCTCAGATACCCCTTATGTAGTAACATATTCTTGTTTAGATCTAACTATAACACAATATCACACACCTATACCCCCCTCCAAAAAAAAAAAAATTTGACCCCCAAAAAATTACCCTCATTTCAAGTAAAAGAGCCCTAAATTTTCATAAAAAAAAAAGCAAAAAAAAACGCAAAAACACCAAAATTTTCTTACTCCCAAAAAAATTTTTTTTTTACTTTGGAAAAAAACGTTATTAAAAACACCCAAAAAACAACAAAAAAATTCCAAAAAAAAAATAAATAAAAAAACCGGGAGAACAGGCGAAGAAAGAATTCTGTGGGATTTAAGAGAAAAAATAATTTCCCCAGTGCGCCCCAACCTTGATTTTTAATTAATTTTATCAATATAGTCTAGTAATAAAACGGATCAATACGACTACAACTTCAATTGCTTTTTACATTTGTGAAGTGTTATAAACTAAATCGATCATTGAAAATATTTACATGGTTGTCAAGAGTATGTTTACATGTTGCCTAGATAACGTTGTCATCACATGTAAACATATAGCAGACTGGTGCGGTCTTTCGTTTCAAATTAACAGTGGTGAGAAGACGTGAATTAATGTTTCAAGAAAGTAATTCTACAAAAGAAATACAAATGGAAATTCAAGAGTGTCAGGCGCAGCCTCAACCACAGAACTGGCCATGGAGTTTAGAAGAAAGTAACATTTTGATAGAAAATATTTATTACTATCAGAGAATGATTGAGACAATCGAAAGAGCTAAGAGTTTGGGACCGGTTAAACTTCCAAAAGCTCCGAAAAGAAAGGTGCAGGACTTATTTAAAGAAAAACTGGGAAAGAAAAAAAAGCAAACTATCCCGACGACCCCTGAAGAACTTCACACCTTTCTAAGAAGCAGAAAGGCGGATTTATCAAAGACAATTTCGAGGCAGAAGTTTATTTTTAATAGTGAAAAAGACCCTGTTAAACAGTTACAAGAAGCATACAAACACTTGGGAAGACATAACGCCCAAGGTATGCTGTTTAACATTACTTTCGGTGATTTCCTTAATGATTTGAGAGACTGGTTTCTTTCGGCAAAGGTCAATACAACGTGGGACACATGGTTATCATCTAAGATAGATATATCTATACCTCATGCTCGGAAATTAAGACAACTTGCTAATCTACTTAAAGGATTTAAAGGTTTTCTGAACATTAATGTTTCAATCAATGATATTCTTTCAAAACAAGAACTTATCAAACAAATGTTAGCAATTGATCAGTTTGCCACCTTTTGGAGACAGGTAGACTATATTCCAGCAGATGATGAACTTACTCCGTCACAAGAAGTTTGATATGTATGTGATATTGTATTCCATATAAGGAGTGATCATACATGATCAGTAGGTGGGACAACTCTTTACTATTGATTTTCTTATTCCATATAAGGAGTGATCATACATGACCAGTAGGTGGGACATAGTAACGGTTATTCATAACCGGGTAACTTTTAGTGGATGTGACAGTTCTAACTTTGAACAGTGATATTATGTTTATAGTGTTTGATTTGTATGTATTCATTGCACTTTTGTTTTCAAATTAAAATTTTGAAACTGATTATTGTTTTGGTAATAAATTAACCGTAAGTAAAGGAGGAGCGAAAAACCAAAGGGACGTTATATCTCATAAGTAAAAAGTAAATCGACAAAGCCATGGCTAAAAAAGAAACAGACAAACAGGCAAACAACAGAACACAAAATACAACACAGAAAAAAAACCTAAAGACTGAGAAACACGAACCCCACCAAAAACCGGGGGTGATCTCAGGTGCTCTGGAAGGGTAAGCGGACCCTGTTCCACATGTGGTACCTTTCATTTAGAAAGATTTAAAACTTAGTCATCATTAATTCTTGTTTATAGAAAGCACCTGTTATTTCGTCGCCTTTTAAATCAATTATTTTATAAGTAAAAGGAATTGTATTTAAAACTTTTTCAATTACAAATATTTCTTTAGTCCAACGAGTAGTATAACCCTTTTCAAATTTACCCTTCTTTTTTGTTATTCTTATTCTAGTACCTACTTCGAATTTAGGTTTTTTAATTTTCTCTTCTTTTTCTGGATATAAATTTTTATACACTGTTAATTCATTTTTTAATTTACTTGCTTCAACAGGTGTCATTTTAATTGAAGAATGTACTGTATTATTATAATTTTTAACTAATTTATCTAATATATCATAATATTTTAAAGTTTCATTAGCAGTAAAGTATTTATACATATGTTGTTTCATTGTTCCTATCCATCGTTCCACTACACTGGATTTTTCTTCATTCTCAGTTGAATATAACTTTATGTTATTATCTTTTAACAATTCTTTTACTTGTCGATTATAAAATTCGGATCCTTTATCTGACCAAATATATATTGGTTTTCTTTCTTTAAATAATGTTTTAAATGCTTCACTCACTGCTACTCCTGTTTTATTTTTCAATGGAATCAACCAACCATATTTACTAAAAACATCTATAACTGCTAATAAATATTTATAGTGTTTATTTTGTTTTGAATATTGTTGTATATCTATCAAATCAACTGCCCATGTTTGATCTATTGAATTAACATAAACACGTCTTTTAGGAAAAGATTTTATAACTCTATGATGTAATTCATCTGCTAATTTATTTGTTAGATTTGTTTTAGACATTTTTAAGTAACTAAAATGTTTTCTTAAAAAATGGAGGCAAAAAAGGATAAAATTTTATCCAAGCGAGGAGATTCATATAAACTTGTTTTGACAAAAGAATATAAACATAAAGCAAGTATTTATGTATTTAATTATAAAATTAGTCTAAAGGATGAAAAACAAGAAACATTTACAAATGCTTTTGACCACATGGTAAACTATTCCATAAAAGATTACCCTAATGGAAGAATTAAAATAGTACCTATTCATGAAATCATAATTACTAAACATAAAAGCTGGCCTATAAGAACATATAATACAGTTAAAAAGTTATTCATGGATCAAATGGAAAGATTATTAAATAGTGCTGAAGAATTAAATTTAGAAGAAGTTATTTTTGAAGTTACTATTATACCCAATAAAAGAGGAAAAGGTAAAGCTTTAAAAATATTAGATGTCATAAATAAAAGAAGTATTATCAAAATAAAAAATGATGATACAATATGTTTATCAAGGGCAATTGTAACTTCTTTAGCTTCAAATAAGTTATTAAAAGATTTTACAGATTCTCAATTAAAACATATCAATGAAAGTAGACCATTACAAAAAAGATTAGCTGAAGATTTGCATGAACAATCAGGAGTAGAAATAAAAGAAGAAGGAAATGATTTGGAAGATTTAAAAGCTTTTGAAAATTATCTTAATATTAGGATAATTGTTTTTACATCAAATAGTACAGAATATATTGTATATGATGGTAATGAAGAATATAATGAACAAATATATTTATATTATCATGATGAACACTTTGACACTATAACAAATATAACAGGATTTTTAGCTAAACGTAGGTTTTGTAAAGTATGTTTAATTGGTTATACTGAACAACATACATGCAAAGATAATACAGTAACAACTATCAGAAAACAACATATTTGTGATAAATGTAACAAAACATATACAGGTAAAAATCACAAATGTGGTGAAAAAATATGTTTAATATGTTATGAAAAATACACGGAAAGTAATGAAGAACACTTATGTTATATGAAACCATCAGTACCAAAACAAGTAAAAAATAATAAATATATATATTTTGATTTTGAAGCAAATCAAGAAACAGGAATACATATAATGAATTTTTGTATAGCTTACGATTTAGAAAATATTTATTGTTTTAAAAATAACTATGTAAAAGTATTTAAATGTGATTTCAATATTGATAATTTAAACTTGTTAGAATTAGACATAGATGATTGTTTTAGTGATGTAGAAAAAATTAAATATGAAACAAATTCTGTAATAGACAACTTTTGTAAATATTTCATAAGAGATAAATTTAAAGACTACACTTTTATTTCACATTATGGAAAAGGTTATGATATGCAACCGATTTTAGGATACATTGTTAAAAATAAAATTGAACATAACATAATTTCTTCTGGACTAAAATTAACAGCTATATTTATTAAAGGAATAAATTTAAGATTCATAGATTCTATAAATTTTACATTATGTGGATTAGCTGCTTTCCCAAAAACATTTGGATTTGTGGGTAACAAAGGTTATTTTCCACATTATTTTAATACAACAGAGAATCAAAAATATGAGGGAATTTATCCTGATAAAGAATATTTTGGTTATAATACTATGACAATTAAAAATAAAGAATTATTTGATGAATGGTATAATAAAGTTAAAGAAAAAGAATTTAAATTCTATAAAGAAATATTTTATTATTGTCTATTGGATGTTTTAATTCTTGCCAAAGGTTGTACCTTATATAGAAAATTATTTTTAAATATAACCAATAATTGTATCGATCCATTTCAATATATTACAATTGCTCAATGTTGTACAAAAATATTTAAAACATTAATGTTGACAAATGAAACAATTGGAATTCACAAAAAGATGACAATTAAAGAAGTACATTCACAAAAATCAATACAATGGTTAGAGTATATTTCTTTAGAATATAATATAATGATTCAACATGCTAAAAGGGGAGGTGAAAAGAAATTATTCATTAATAATAAATGTTATAAAGTCGATGGTTATTATTATGATAGAGAAAATAAAATGCGTAATGTTTATGAATTTTTTGGATGTTATTGGCATGGATGTACAAAATGTTATAGTCCTGAAGAAATATGTAAAAAAGATAGAAATAAAAAAACTATGAAAGAGTTATATGACCAAACTGAAGAAAGACTTAAAACTATTGAAGATTATCTAAAACCAAATGTAAAAATTCATACAATATGGGAATGTGAGTTTGATCAACAAAAATATCCTGAAGTTGATCCACATTTAAAACCTATTGATAAAAGAGATGCATTTTATGGAGGAAGAACAGAAACTATTCAATTATACAATAATCTTTCTGATTTAAAAGGTAGATATGTAGATTTTTGTTCTCTGTATCCATCAGTAAATAAATATTGTAAATATCCTATAGGGCATCCTATTACATCTACAGAAATATCTGTAGATGATTATATAAAAAATAATTATTTCGGAATAATGAAATGTAAAATATTACCACCTAAAGGATTGTATCACCCTGTTTTACCTTATAAACAATTAACTAGTGATAATACACATAAATTACTTTTTGGATTATGTAGAACATGTATGAATAAAATATCTTTTAAATGTAAACACATAGATTATCCTACTTTAAATAAACATGATAAAATACATGAAATAAAAAGATGTAAAGAATGTAAAAATATTAAAAATGAAAAATGTATACATTCTGATGAGGAAAGAGTTATAGTAGGTACATGGTCTACAATAGAAATAGATAAATCAATAGAAAAAGGTTATGAATTACAAAAAATATATGAACTAGAACATTTTGAAAAAACATCTACAGATATATTTAAACTTTATGTAGATACGTTTATGAAATATAAACAAGAAGCTTCAGGATGTAAATGTGATCCTAAATATTGTAAAAATGATTGTAAAAACGATAAAGAATGTAAAACAAAAATACAATACATTATAGATAATACTGCTTATGATCTAGATATTGACAAAGTTAAGTACAATTCAGGATTAAGATTTATAGCTAAAATATGTTTAAATAATTTATGGGGACATTTTGGTATGAGAGATAATTTTACACAAAAAGAATATTGTTTTACTTTAGAACATATAACTAAAATAGTATTTAATGAAAAATATAAAGATATAAGTACTATGATATTAGATGAAGATATTGTTTTAACAGAATATAAAAATAAAGAAGAATACTCTAAACCTAATCCAAGTGTAAATGTTTATATAGCTTTGTTTACAACAGCACATGCTAGATTAAAATTATACGAACTATTGGATATTCTTCAAGAAAGAGTTTTATACATGGATACAGATTCTTGCATTTATAATGATGATGGTTCTGAAGCTTGTAAAAAAATAGAAAGTATGATGGGAAATAAATTAGGAGATTTAACAGATGAAATTGTTTCAAAACATAACGCTAATCATATAAAACAATTTATATCTGCTGGTCCAAAAGATTATTCTATGAAACTAGATACAGAAAAACTAGTTAGCTGTTGTAAAGGTTTTAGATTAAATGCTGAAGTAGAAAAAAAGATTACATTAGATAAAAAAATAAAAATAGTTACTGATGAAAATGAAAAATATGAAACTGTTAAATATAATAATATAAAAATAGGAAAAGATCATCAACTTAAAACAGTTAAACAAGCTAAAGCTTATGATTATATGTTTGATAAAAGAATGGCATATTGTGAAAATGAAAATTTAATTAGAAGTTTTCCTTATGGATATTAAAAAATATATAATTTAAATTTTTATTTTAAAAAATAAAAGACTAAAAAATGATTGAAGCTTATACTGAGAAAGATGATCCTGACGCTAAAGTTATATTAGGAAGAATAATGTTATCAGATTATC